CTCATTTGACAGGAGGTATGTTTTCGGGAGAAGGCGGAGATGCTGGGGTGTCGACATCCACAGCAGGAGCGAGGGGGAAACTCATTTGACAGGAGGTATGTTTTCGGGAGAAGGCGGAGATGCTGGGGTGTCGACATCCACAGCAGGAGCGAGGGGGAACTCATTTGACAGGAGGTATGTTTTCGGGAGAAGGCGGAGATGCTGGGGTGTCGACATCCACAGCAGGAGCGAGGGGGAACTCATTTGACAGGAGGTATGTTTTCGGGAGAAGGCGGAGATGCTGGGGTGTCGACATCCACAGCAGGAGCGAGGGGGAACTCATTTGACAGGAGGTATGTTTTCGGGAGAAGGCGGAGATGCTGGGGTGTCGACATCCACAGCAGGAGCGAGGGGGAACTCATTTGACAGGAGGTATGTTTTCGGGAGAAGGCGGAGATGCTGGGGTGTCGACATCCACAGCAGGAGCGAGGGGGAACTCATTTGACAGGAGGTATGTTTTCGGGAGAAGGCGGAGATGCTGGGGTGTCGACATCCACAGCAGGAGCGAGGGGGAACTCATTTGACAGGAGGTATGTTTTCGGGAGAAGGCGGAGATGCTGGGGTGTCGACATCCACAGCAGGAGCGAGGGGGAACTCATTTGACAGGAGGTATGTTTTCGGGAGAAGGCGGAGATGCTGGGGTGTCGACATCCACAGCAGGAGCGAGGGGGAACTCATTTGACAGGAGGTATGTTTTCGGGAGAAGGCGGAGATGCTGGGGTGTCGACATCCACAGCAGGAGCGAGGGGGAACTCATTTGACAGGAGGTATGTTTTCGGGAGAAGGCGGAGATGCTGGGGTGTCGACATCCACAGCAGGAGCGAGGGGGAACTCATTTGACAGGAGGTATGTTTTCGGGAGAAGGCGGAGATGCTGGGGTGTCGACATCCACAGCAGGAGCGAGGGGGAACTCATTTGACAGGAGGTATGTTTTCGGGAGAAGGCGTAGATGCTGGGGTGTCGACATCCACAGCAGGAGCGAGGGGGAACTCATTTGACAGGAGGTATGTTTTCGGGAGAAGGCGGAGATGCTGGGGTGTCGACATCCACAGCAGGAGCGAGGGGGAACTCATTTGACAGGAGGTATGTTTTCGGGAGAAGGCGGAGATGCTGGGGTGTCGACATCCACAGCAGGAGCGAGGGGGAACTCATTTGACAGGAGGTATGTTTTCGGGAGAAGGCGGAGATGCTGGGGTGTCGACATCCACAGCAGGAGCGAGGGGGAACTCATTTGACAGGAGGTTATGTTTTCGGGAGAAGGCGGAGATGCTGGGGTGTCGACATCCACAGCAGGAGCGAGGGGGAACTCATTTGACAGGAGGTATGTTTTCGGGAGAAGGCGTAGAGGCAGCAGATTTCGCAGGATGAGGAGAGCGGAGGGCGTCCTTTAGAATTAGTTTTGGGCTTTCTTGTTGGTGCAAGATTAGAACAGACAAGTCAATCACAAGGTTGAGCAGGTGGGTAGGCGAGGACTGAGCAGTGGCGACGGAATCTTCTGAGATCTGATTTGGAGCAGCAGCAGCGGTTCTTGTGTTGTTCGGAAGCCCCGACACTCATGATTCTAGTTGTACTACGGATGCACTTGTTAGATCAGCATTGAATATATACTATACTACGCACAAGTTGAATATTGTGATTTGAATAACTTGAAATGCCATGTGAGCTTATTACCTTCTGAGTCCTCGATGTGAACGCCGCTAGTTGTTCTTCAGAAACTCGATAGGATTCTGTGCGCTTGCCCATACGATTATATTACATCATTGGTTGTGGGTTAGCTCATGGTTGGAGGCCTTGGATTGGCTTGGATTAACGAATTTTGGGCTAGAATCCTCAAATAGAAGCCGCTTAATGGTAGCTCCCTGACAAAGCTTTGGTACATCAAAATTGGAACAAAGATAAAATCTTGGTAATATCTGAAGTAACGCATGGTCTACGTGGGCAATTTGGATCAACTTTCTTAGCAAGAGTAGCTCTCATTTTGGAGGTATAACTGTCAGAGATCAACAATCGGATTGTGTTGCAAATATTTGTGTTACAAAAGCTGCTTAAATGTTTTTATTCTAACAAGCTAAAGATTACATATATAGGATATTGAAGGGATTTGAGTGGTTATTGGGATAAATAGCTTTCAAACAAGAACACAAGGTTGAATATTAGGTAATTGATTGAATCTATCAAAAAGAAAAGAAAAGTGGTGAATATTTTATTTTATTGCATATTAATTGGAAAAATGATATAGTTTGTAATTGTGGTTATATTTGTTTATTTTATTTTATTTTATTATTATACTTATAAATATTAAAGAATAGAATTTGTTAGAATTTATAGGATTAGAATGTATTAAATATGTTTAGAATATGTCCTAATTGAATATAATGAACTTTGGAAATTTTGAGGTTTTTTATAATTATTGTTAAAATTTTGAAGGTTATTATTATTTTTTATTTTATTTTTCTATAATAAAGATTTAGGATTTGATTAAAGTTTGTTAGAATTTAGGATTTGCTTTGAATTGGTTAGAAATTAGAATATATTTAGGATTTTTTGTACTTAGAATTTTCTTATGCTTTAACTAGCATTTGACAATTTTTAGAATTTGATAGTAATGTTATAGATGTTTTGTATTATGGATAGTATTGTTCAAAGCAAATCTAATATGAAATTGTGAATTTGTGTTGGTAGGGTGTAATTAGAATATGTATAAGTGATTCATCATCACATTTTTTTGAAATCAATCAAGAACTAAAGGTTTGCGCCTTATTTTTAGATGTAAATATTTACAATCAAGATGAAGCAATACAATAATTCTTTGTAAGATCTTATTGCAATACCAAATATGCAAGATATTGGTGGAGATATGTGGAAAGAGTGTAGAAATGTAGATATGAGGAGATATGTAGAAATGAAGCTTTCATTAAAAAAAAAAGAAGTTATTAAACAAAAATCAATGTGCAAATTTGTGGAACAAAGTTGAACATGTTATGAAGGTATTTGGCTATCTAATATCGTATAGGAATAAAAGAATGGAATATGATCTTTTATTAAGTGAGTTATTTCTTATATTAAAGAAAATTATTTCACTTGTAAAGAATTTTATAAAACAAATTTACAATAAAGCAATAATCTTTCAAGTGAAGAACAAAGAAATCTTTAGAAAATTACTTTGGGATTTAAAGTGTTGTTATGATGTAGCAAGTGACAAACTTTTAAAGCATATTTTAATTTTTTTTATAGACAATATGATAATTACTTTTGATATAACAACCCTTGAAGCAATAAAAGGTGATAAAAAATATCTATACGAAAGGTTGACCTTTACAAATGAACAAGATTATTTTTAAATTATGAATTGATAAAGCATTTATTATAAAGGTTGAAAAACTTTTATTCTATAAAAGATGAGAAATTAGAAAATTTGAAATTATCATCAAATATAAAAATCTTGAAATTATTGAACTTTTGGATGAAGGAGCTAGTAAAAAAATTGATAAGTCAAAGTGGTTTAGACTTGTATGTGTGATTAAAAAGATAAATGTTGAATTTGAAAAACTTTTTATAAAAGAAGTGAACATTTTAGCAAGTCTAAGTCATCCTAACTTGATAAATTATTATTTTTCATTGAAAGGTAATGCAAATGAAAGAGATCAATATTGTATGCATATGAAGAAAAACCAGTACTCATATTTTGAGATGGAATTGATACAAACAATTTTAAGCAAGATGCTTGAAGAAAATAGAGAAGAAACTTATATTTTTCTAATTGATGTTATGTCTCAAATTGCAAAAAAGATGGATTACTTGATTGGCATGTATATTGTACATTGTGATTTGAAGCTTGACAATATCATGCTTAATATTATGGAAGAAAATATTATGGATAAGAAATTTTAATATATAATTATTAAAGTAATTGATTTTGGAATATCAAAGATTGAAGTTGAAAGCAAACCAAATACTACAAAGAATAAACATGTTTATGGTACTACAAGATACATGGCTCCTAAGATATTGAAGAATCAATTTTAAAGAATGACTGTGTTTTTTTAAAGCAGATATTTTTTCATTTGTAATGGTATATATTAAGATTCTTTCTAAAAAAAATCCATTTCATGATGTAAAAACATCAAAAAATATATTTGAAAGAATAGAAAAAGTTAATAGACCATGAGTACCTTCAAATAGTAATGAATTAACTGAGTTCATTGAAGAGTTTTAGAGCTTAAATCCTTTGCAACGACCAAACTTTGCAAGTATTTGTAACAGATTAATTAAGTTGAAAAAAAAGTTTTTAGTTGGTATTATTACAAATACAACACTACGTTTTTTTGCATCAAGAAATAAAAGTCATCAATCTATAGAATTACAGATAATAAAAAAAAATTACCATTAACAAAACTTGCACTAAAAAATGAAATAAAAATATGTTAAATTGATTAAATTAATTGTAATTATTATTTTTGTTTTATTTTTTATTTTTTATTTTAATTTTTAATTTTTTTATATAAGTTTTGAATGCTATAGTGATGAATATATGATTTAATGTAAGTACAAGTTTGTAAAATTCAATTAAAATCTGATATGCATAGTGTATATTTTTAATTTTTTTTTATTAACTCATGATTTAATTTATAATTTTAGATTGATATACTTAAAAAAAGAGTATTTGGTAGAAGACAATATTTATTGCAAATGTCACAACTATGTATAAGTGGTGTGAAGGCATTATGTCTTATTAGAATGAGTGAAATAGTTAAGACAACAATAACAAAGGCAATATTTAATAATTTGAAGCATACATATAATGCTTCATGCTTTGTTGATTGCATTGAAGGTAGTGGTGATTGTTATAAAACCTCATGCTACATTTTAGAAAAATTACAAGTTAAATCAAAACAAAAAGATTTAGAAGAATTTCAAGAAATGCTAAAATTATTCTTAACCATAAACAAGGTAATTCTAATCTTTGATGATGTGAGGAATGAAAGTCAAATAGAAGATGTTTTACACATGGATGATTTAATTGCTAGTAATGGTAGTATATTAATTATAGCAATATGACATTGAAAAGCTATGGAATATTTTAAGACAAAAATATATAAAATAAATGTTGAAGAATTTAATAAAGAAATAATTTTGAAGTTATTTATTTAATCTTGTAGATATAAAGGTAAGATATCTCATGAATTTATTGAAATTACCAAAAAGATTGTAAAAGCTTGGAATGGTCTACCATTGAGTCTAAAAATTATTGGTGTATTTTTAAGAGAAAAAAAGATATTAAAATGTTGAGAACAAACTTTATAAAGGTTGAAAAAGAGAAGGGAATTAGATGGAGATGAAAAAAATAGCAACCATAAGATTTGGAATATATTAAGAATATATTTTGATATCAACTTTGAACATTCAAAATTGATTATATTACCAAATAATATGAAGAATTTAACATCATTGAAAGTACTTATTTTGAGTTATTGTATTAAGTTGAAAATATTGCTAAAATCAATTTGTGGATTATTTCTTTAAATAATTTTAATATTCATAATTTTATAAATTTGACAATATTTCTAAGTAAATTGAAAAATTTCGCAACTTTGATTACCTTAAATATATCAAGTTGCTTAAGCTTGACATCATTGCTAAATGAATTAGGTAACCTCACATCTTTGACTACCTTGAATATGTAGAGGTATTCAAGCTTGATATTATTGCCAAATGAATTGGACAATCTTACATCTTTGACTACTTTAAATATGTAGAGATACTCAAGTTTCATATCATTGCCAAATGAATTGGGTAACTTCACATCTTTGACTACCTTAAATACGTGAGAGTACTCAAGCTTGATATTATTTCCAAATAAATTAGATAAACTTACATCTTTGATTACTTTAAATATATGAGGGTGCTTAGGTTTGATATCATTGCCAAATAAATTAAGCAACTTCACATCTTTGACTATCTTAAATATTTGAGGTTACTCAAGTTTGATATCATTGTCAAATTAATTAGGCAACCTCATATCTTTGACTACCTGAAATACATGGGGGTGCTGAAGGTTGATATCATAGCTAAATTATTTAGGCAACCTCTCATCTTTGACTACTTTAAACATATAGCAATGTTTAAGCTTGACATTATTGCCAAATAAATTAGACAACGTCATATCTTTAATTACCTTAAAAATAAGAAGATTCTCAAGCTTGGCACCATTACTAAATGAATTAGACAATCTCACATCTTTAAGTTCCTTTAGTTTTATTAGAAATTGAAGTTTGACATCATTACAAAATGAATTGGACATCTTTAGAATTTTGATTATTTTAATAATTTAATATAATAGTTTTATTTTCAATCTATGAAGAATTCTTTGCAAAAACTTAAATAATACTTTTGGAATTAAAAAAAATATTCTATATTAAAATAAAAAATATGATAGATTTTAGATTAATATAGTTAAAAATTAAGAATTTTCTTGCTAAAATTATTCTAATTAAATACTTGAAATTTAATCTTTTTTATCTTATTTTTATCACAAAGTTGCCTATTATTAAGAATTTGATATCAATTCAAAAAAATATTAAAGAGCTTACTTGTTATTATAAAATTTCTCTACTTCTTTTTGTATTTAGAAATTCTAAGACACTAGGTGGTTTCTAGTTTTTGTAAGTTAATTTAAAGTTGTAATATAAAAATAAATAATATAATAGAATCTATAGCTTTATTTAGATGTTATTTAATAGCATCTGAAAATATAATATAATTATTAGAATATTATTTAATAATAAATTATTAAAAAAATCTAACTACAAATAAGACTTATTATTTTGTCTTATTAGACCTTGGATTCTAAGTTAGAATTTAAAATCTTACTTCTTATAAAAAAAAGTATACTTCTTTGATCTTGTTGGAT